CACCTCATCCTAGCGCAAAAACGTTTTGTCGAAAAACGTAATTATTTTTTCGAAATTGACGTGTTTCCATTGAGCAAATTTATTTTCGAAATTCTAATTTGCGCATTTTCATGGTCAATAGAAACACAGCTACTGCTGCAGAACAGAATGTGAAACTTCAGCATTTTGTTCTATTTACAAAACAAAATTCTGCATGGTTCTGCCTGAAGCTGGAAGAGCTTTAGATTTCCAGTCAAACCCTTCATCCCTGCACTGACCCGGTCCATATGATGAAGTCCTGCGGCTGCGTGAGCGGGGCCAAGTTAGCGAAGGCCGACTGGATGAGGCTGTAGGGGGAGTCGCACAGGAAGTCTCCGAACAGCCCGGCGTGGGTGGCGGGGGCTCCTTTGGAGGAGAAACACACCTTGGTGGGGTCCTGGTTCTGGTTGTAGGACGGGTCCAGGTGGAGATCGGTGATGTGCCAGAACCTGCCTGAATGAAACGGTTTAAGTCAAAGGAGCAGAAAGCTTAAAAGGAGCAGCTAAAAGCTAGGAAGAGCAAAATCATAGCTAACGGCTAAAATGTTACTGAAAGCTAAAGCTAGCAAAAAATGTATAAGAAAACTATAAACAGAAAAACTATGATGTGAATGCTGACTCAGCAGTGTGATCTGTTTGATAATTATTTTTACTTTAATTTCAAATGTAGTTATTTTAGTTTAGGCTGATATTTTGTTCACTGAGTGAATTTCAATTCATTCTTAAATAAGTTTGATTTTATTTTAGACAGTAAAACAAATTAGAGAACTTTTCTATAACTCAAAATAAGGATAAACTCTCCAAACTGTCTCCAGCCGAACCTCGTTGAAAAAACACCAACTTTTCAGTTGTTTGTCAAAGACATGAAACATACAAGGTTTACGGCAAATTTTAACACTTAATGTAAAAGAAGAGTGTCTTCCTGAAAATTCGGCAGACTTTTATTGAATCTAACAAAACATTTATTTTTAATAATTCACTACTTTTTTTGTTGCAATGACAAAGTACCATGTTTATATCGTTACCCATCGATTTTAAGACCATTTAAACAAACAAGCATTTTCACAGATGACATTTAAGTGTGTGCTACTCTATGAAGTGATTTAAAAAAAAAAACAACAACAACAACGGACATTTCACTTACCTGTTCCCGACAGGTAGCTGCTTCCTGTCGGAGCTGCGGAGACCGAAGCTCCGCTGAACAACAGGAGCATCAAAAAACACAGAATCTGCTCCATGATGAGTGAAAACCTTACAGAATGTCACCGAAACTTTAGTTAACAGCTGAGCTAAATGTTTCACTTCCCGAAAAGTAAACAGGAAGTGTTAGCAGGTCAGCTGATTGACCAGGTCAGCTGACCTATTGGGGTTTGGAGCTAAAGTGGGGAGGAGCTATAAGGGGAGGAGCTAAATTCTACATGGATGTTATTTAGACAAATTATTTTTCTTTCACCATTTCATAATCAAGACCTCATAAACGTTTCTGCCATGTGAATTAATATTCAGTAAACTGTATTTTATGCAGGCCTATATATAACTGGCCATCACCAATACTGTTACGTTGATTTTGTAAACAATATAACACCTGTTAAAGCTCAGTTAACTTCACACACGTATAAATAAAATTAAATGTAACTGTTTAAATAAGATAAACTTAAACGCCTGATAGTGTTTTTCTGATTTAAAGTCACATCTGCTCCTTTGCCACTTTAACAAMAGTTACTGACTGACTGAATAAGAATGAACCCATTTATTCAATATATTAGAAAGGTCCTGATGCATCTCAGTAATCCAGGTAAAAAATCAAAAAGAAAAAAATTGTATAGGTCTTCTGGACGGGTTCTTCTCTAATGAAACGTTTRGTCTCTCCTCCAAGAGACTTCTTCAGTCTGAGAGTTTCAGGCAAAATTCAGGCTTTTGAGTCCTGCCTCCATGTGACTGATACTCACATCACATGGCTATCATTCACACCTAATTAACACCTATTGTTAACAGGGGGTGGAGTGATACTGCCAATGGCAGCGCTGTAGGAGGGGGACAACTGAAAACGGAGGCCTCCACCTCTGTTTAWTGATGGACGGTCTTTCTTCAGTGTGGTTATCCTGACTGGGCTTTCCTGAAAGCAGACAGGAAACACAGACAGGATTCCATGCAACCTTCAGGTGAAAATGAAGACCCCAAACCCAGACCCAAACCAGTGGTTATTCCGTATGTTGCGGGTGTTTCGGAGAAACTGAGACGTTTATTTTCTAAACATGATGTCCCAGTGGCTTTCAAACCCCAAAACACATTACGGCAAAGGCTGGTTCACCCCAAAGATCCGGTGCCCCGGCACAAACAGAGCAATGTTGTATATGCTGTTAAGTGCCAGGAGGACTGCGACCAGTTATACATCGGGGAAACAAAGCAGCCACTGTTCAAAAGAATGTCCCAACACAGACGAGCTACATCTGATGGCCAGAACTCTGCAGTTTTCACTCATTTACAGGCCAGCGGTCACTCTTTCAGAGATGAGGATGTTCTCATTCTTGATAGAGAGGAACGTTGGTTTGAGAGAGGAGTAAAAGAAGACATTTTTGTGAAGAAAGACCGTCCATCATTAAACAGAGGTGGAGGCCTCCGTTTTCAGTTGTCCCCCTCCTACAGCGCAGCTATTGGCAGTATCACTCCACCCCCTGTTAATAATAGGTGTTAATTAGGTGTCAACGATAGCCATGTGATGTGAGTATCAGTCACATGGAGGCAGGGCTTAAAAGCCTGAATTTTACCTGAAACTCTCAGACTGAAGAAGTCTCTTGGAGGAGAGACGAAACGTTTCATCAGAGAAGAACCCGTCCAGAAGACCTATACAATTTTTTTCTTTTTTAATATATTAGAAACCTTAACTTATTTAGAGAACTGTAATGTCTCCTTTTATTGTCAAAATTATATTATTTTGTTGTCTCTATAAAATGCAGTGCACAGCAAAAACAGGAGCGTTAAAATTTCAGTGTTAAACTTTTGGGTGTTGATTTAACCCTCCCTAGTGATATTTTAACACTTTCTGAGTAACTCACACCCAGTGTTGGTGTTAATTCACAGTGTTGATTTCCTCAGTGTTGTCTCAACACTGGACAGTGTTAAATAAGCTCCGCCCACAGTTATGTTTTATATAACACTTAACAGTGTTGTTATATGACACCATGCAGTGTTAAAAGTATTGTGAAAAGCCCCGCCCTCTTCCACCTCATGTCAGACAGATTAGTATTTACCCAGCATTCCTTGCTGAGAAATCTTGCAGAAATGACGTGTTTGTTTGTTTATGACCATTAAAGACGTTCATGAGAGTTAAAATTAGTTGTTCTGGTTAGTTTTTTTGTTCCGTTTTATCAAGTTGTTCAACTTAAAGTTTATGTTTTTGGCCAAAAATCGACACCATGAGTGAGAGGTACTTTCTGCTGTGTGAAGGACGACTCAATTATACTTTTCTACTAACTACTGAGAGTTGATATTAACTCTGAGTGTTAAATTTACACTCTCATTTTGATAGTGTATTAAAATAATGCGGTGTCTGTTAATCTTTCAAACATCTCAATTTCCTTTGTTAATAAAAATAATAATAATACACTGGTGTTACTTTTAACACTTTATTTTAACACTGTTGAAATGCTAACATAACACCCAGTTTTGTTGGATATTTAACACTGGTTGGTGTTACTTTTAACACTATATTTTAACACTAACACTATTTTTATGTTAATGTGACACCAAGAATTGTTGAATATTTAACACTGGTTGTTGTTAAATTAACAAAAAAACGAGTGTTAAAATTGAACACTTTCACAAAAGTTATTTTAACACCAGCGAGTGTCACTGAACTGTGCCATTAACTGAGGTTACATTAGAGCAGGGGTGGGCAATCCTGGTCCTSGAGGGTCTCAGTCCTGCATGTTTTACTTGRTTCTCTGCTCCAACACACCTGATTTGAATGAATAGATGATTATCAGGCTTCTTGCAGTACGGAGGACCAACACTGACATAATTAGAAATAAAAGCAGAATTATATAAATGAACCACTAAATAAATACATTTGAAATGCACCAATTAAATAACAAAGGAGAACTTNAAAACACCTGAGGAGAAACACGAGGGTGACAATCAGACAGACAGGGAGCAGCTGAGCTGTGACACACTGGGGAACACTGAAAAACACTAGAAAACTAAGAAAATAAAACACAGATCGTGACACTTTTTAATATACTTTTAAACAAGCCAAGTATAGTTTAAGATGAACTTGGTTAAGTATATCTCAGATAAGTACATAAAAAGTAAACTGGAAGTACACTTTTTATTTTAAGTTTAAAATTAGTATACTTAAAGGATACTTGCATATACTACTCACTGTACATTCATCTTCATCACTGTGCTTCTGTTGAAAACAACACAAACTTTTTGTCTGAGGGTGGGTTTTAGTTACATGTTTGTGTTAAAATCTAGAGTATTTGTGTTTATTAATATTCACTCTCCTAATCTTTGCTACTACAGAAAAAAATCACATTAAATAAGGAAGTTATTGTCAACAAAGTCTGTCCAAAAAAACTTCTTTCAAGAGTTTAAACCCAGTCGGCGCTTTATTTCTTGAAATAAAACAAAATTAAATTTAAGCTTTAAAGTTCAGGTTCATCAGAACTAGTAAAAAAATTATTTGTAACGTTTCTCACCTTTCTTTTCCGTCCACATGTTGACTGTGACGACAGAGAGCAGCCAGACCCACGTACACCACGATGCATCTCAACACATGTGGGTCTGAAYATAGAAAAACTGATTCTTTTAACAGAAACATCAGAATTAGTCTGCAGGAAAACAGATTTTAGACTCTAAAAGGGTGACAGTCGGTCCTCGCCGTGTTTGGATGATTTGTTGTTTGTAGAAGTCCACCCTTTGATGTCACTTCCTGTTTCACTTTGAGCCAAGTAAAAAAAAAGGCCAGTTATGTGACAAAGTGGGTAAAATTCTGTGTATTATGTAAGGTGTCTTAATAAAAAGGTGCTTTCTTTAGGCACATAGGATACTCACCTTGAATAAGCGACAGGTGAACAGCAGCATCTGGTAGCTGGTTTCCAGATGTGTTCAGCTGTCTGCAGCTGTAACGCCCGACATCTTTCACCTGATCTTCTTCAGAACCAGAGAGCAGTTGTTAAACCCAACAGACAGTTACAAACAACTGAAACAAACAAAAACAACTTTACTAAGTCATTAATATATAGAAAAAACAACTTTGGTCCTAGTACAGAACCTTGTGGAACCCCACATACAATATTACAAAGTTCAAACCTTACATCATTAATTTGTACAAACTGTTCCCTACAGTATTAGTTAAATAACTTGATACCCACTGTAGTGCTGGACCTCTTATGCCACATTTGTTTAATTTCTTGAGAAGAATACTGTGGTCAGTGGTATCAAACGATTTTTTAAATCCACAAAAACACTGAAACCGTACTGCATCGTAAGCCCACCCACACAGACCAATATTTGCGTTTTGACTCCCACCACCCACTGGAACACAAGTTAGGAGTGATCAGGACTCTGTACCAC